ACTGTTGATTCATTGTTATTGTTTTATAAATAGTGTATATATAAACAACAAATAATTAAAAATATATAAGGAAGTGAAATCAACCAGTGAAATCAACCAGGAGTGTTTAGGAAATAAAACAATATTCATAAAAAACACTGAATGAAAACTTACACTATGTTACCAAGAAACACACCAAAACAAAAAATATTACAAATAAAAGTAATTTTGTCGTAATTTTGTCGTAATTTTGTCGTAATTTTGTCGTAATTTTGTCGTAATTTTGTCGTAATTTTGTCATAATTGTGCCATAATTGTGCCATAATTGTCATAAAGTGATGCATTGTGGCAAAAGTGTGGTTTCTGCTCCTTAAAAACCCGGTAGAACACGGATAGTAACTAACAGACTTTAGTATTTTTCTTAAAACGATCCATTTTTATATATTGGTGTACTGTTTACTTAAAAACAATAACATTATAGATCTAGACACCGTTTCATTCAGGACAATGATACAAACCCACAGCAGCAATAACTTGTATTAAAGCAGAGGGAATAAACTGGGAGAAAGCCAACAGATTCCCCTAATTTAAATCCAGTAAAAATGGTTTGGCTCTCCCTCAAAGGCTACATTTGAAAGATGGCAAAACCAACCACAAAGTTAGAACTCATCACAGCAACTGGCAAGTTCTGGGATGAAGATCTGACCAAACAAATGTGAACAATTATATTAACAGACGTTTTTGGGTTCTTCCAAATATTGTAGAATGCTGGGGGGCATTGAGTTATGCAAGTCTGTAAATATGTAAGGTGAGAGATGTAATATATTTGTTCTGTTTTAAATTATAAGTTTGTGTAAAGTTATATCAAAGCCTCTGGACATGTGTAAGCAGTTGTGAGTTAGTTCCACTCTACAGGCTGTTTCACGTGTAATTACGTCCTTTGTCACCAAATTAGAACATCAAGAAAAACAGAATCTCTATTTGGATCTCATATATCATGTTTTTTTCAGTTTTGTAAAATAAACCGTTAAAATTAGAGATTCTGTGTGTGTGTGTGAAATGAACAACTCTTTATGTTCCTCCTGGTTTTGTTTTCTTTCAAACCACTGCTGTTTAAAAGGCTACTATTTGTGATTTTTTCAGAATTTTTATTTAAATACTCTTTATTACCTACTTGCATTTTTAGAAACCTTTGTGTTTATGTGCAGTTATGCAGAGGCTAGTCTATAGCATAATCGCGGTGTACATGGGCTTATACAGTACTATTCAGTAGGTATTTATGTGAAGTACTAACATTCAAAGCAGAATACTACAAACTCATGTTTAATATATTAATGTTTAATTATATATAAACTATGTATAATATATTTTTAATATTCACAATCTGAAAAGTATCTGTTTTCTAATTGCTATTTATACACAATTGCTTATGTTTATTGTATGTATCTAAAAACTGTAATTCTATTAGTGTTTTACTAAATTGAGATGTACAGTATCTCATTTGGAGTTGGGGTAACAATGTGGTACCAACATCGTGTCTAAACAATGCTCTGTAATTATTGTATTTGATGAAATTTTCACGAGTGCAGTAATGCATATAGTATGATTAGTGCAGGAAAACACTAATGGGTAAATAAATATTTAATGCTGTCAGGCTTCTGTGACAACCACACACAACAGCGGGACTTTAAATATTTACTGCGTGGCAAATTGCAATATTAAAAATGTAATTGTTTTGACTAGTTTATAGTCTGAAAAATGCACAACCATTGTAGCTAGGTCATGTATTTTATATGTTTTTATAACAGTAATTATCTGTTGTTTTCAATATATTTTCAATAATTATAATTATCATACTAAGAAAAGAACATTAAATGAAGCTACTTTTTCATTACTACTACTTTATCTACAGTAACTCAACACACGTGCCACCTATTGATCTTTGAACGGTGAAGGGATACATTTCATATGCTAAAACAGAGCCCAGGATACTGCAACTTGCTTACCACTAGTGTCAAGTTTGATATGCATTCTAGATGGCTGCATCTGTACATGGGAGTGAAAATGACCGTTTTCTTACATAAAATTAAACAAAAAACGTCTTTGTATGACAGTAGGGACATTTGCAGTCAAAAGAAAGAATGCTTCCAATTAAACCAAAAGTAGTAGCAATAATAATTATTATTTTATTAGCCTTTTATTATTATCATCATCTGCTCCAAATACGAACCCCGCCCCAAATGAAATAAGGCTGTAGAAGACTAATGGAAACTGTTTGCTAATGGACTTGAGCTCTTGTCTCCTGCAGTGGCGTGGTTTTCCATGTGCCTCCTGTGTACCTCTGTCCCTGCTGCTCTGGGATATCTCCAGGACTGTTCCCAGGACAAGGCCCCTGAGCCCGCACTGCAAAGGAAAAGACACCATGCTGTGCAGAGACGAGACTTACAAACTGTGCACCTCTCCAGGCAGGAGGCCATGCTGGAGGTCAAGGGCTTGTGAGTACACCTCTTCTCTCTCTCGGCCTTTCTTTGGGTGAGAACAAGGTTCTGCTTCTGGTGCTCCATGAAGTGGGGGCTTTTCAAGCACAATATTTATCATCTTCCCTTGTCAAGCTCAAAAGCTGAGCAAAGAATAGTCTCCATTGACGTAAAGCAGAATTCTTAGGATATCACTGAACATCTTAAAGGTTATCAAAGAATTCTTCATATAATTAACGTTCTATTCCGTGTCCCATTTCACGTATTGGCATGGCTCTCAAAGGAGCTGTCGAGCAACATCGACAAACCACTGAGTGCAGTGTTGTCTGGTAAGACTTTACAAGTCTTGTAAAGCACTGCCTTTTTATAAGACACAGAGTGGCATATAGATAAATTCTGCAGACCTCAGAGGTAATCTTTGCTAATTTAGGGGTGATGTTAGTGTCAGCTGAAGAAGTGGCTGAATGTGGCAGTTGGTTCATTAGGAATGTGTCAGTGGAGCATGGGCTCTGAGTGAGCTCAGTGATTTTGAAGGCTGTTGTCATTGCAGGTTGGTGCAGCTGGATGAGATCCTGTCTCAGGCCTGCCTCACTGCAGAGTCCATGTACAGAGTACTCTACTGGGAGGATCACAGTGCCTCGTTCCTGTGAGTACCACTAGACCAGAATGAGATCAAATGTACTGTAAATTAGAGTACATTTATTGTAAATAAAACTAATCTGAATTATAGCACCCAGTGTTTTCCTGATAGGACATTTTTAATCCATTAGTTGCTTTTATTTTCTTTAGTAGCAATAGCATTCTTTAGTAGCAAATTGGAATTGCCTTTTGACAATACAGTATGTGAATAACGTCTTCTGGCAGGCGTTAGAATGCATTTAGTCTTGTTTGTTAGTCTTAGACAAACTTTATTTTCCTGTGATTACACAAATCAGTTAACTCCGTCCAATGTGAATTCACTTGCTGGGCTTGGTGTTTATATTTATCTTGACAGACCATTCATATAGCTTTTTTTGCAGTGCCTAGCTTCCTTAGATCTTAGCATGCATTCTATAAAACTGATAGAGGCCTTACAGTGCTGAACTCTCATTCAGCGATTTCTTTGTGAATTAGCTTCTCTGTACACCAGCACATTTCATTTTTATTTTGCTTGCTTTTTCTTTGCCTCCATGACAGTGGCTCACTCTGCCTGTCTTATTTTGTGGTCAAGGTTTTACGGCGGTCTCCTGACAGGTCTGTGTCTGGTCTATGTTGTGCCTCTGTGCTGGGTCCTGGCAGCTGTCAATAACGCCCTGTTTCTGTGGAACAGAGATTTCTGTCGAGGTGAGTGGGGTGGGATGCTTGGAATAGGACAGAGTTCTCATACTGTTATAGATTTTGCATTTTGTCTAATGATCACATTCCTTTTTGATTATATCGAAGAAACATTATATCCATACATAGATTTCTACTTTTAGTGGTGTTGCCTTACCTTACATGTTACAGCACATTGTATTGATCTTTGTAATTGCAGTTCTGCTACATCTAATACATTTTTAATGGAATAACTAATATCATTTTGGCAATTGATTACAGTTCTTATTTCATTTTGGGAAATGTCACAAAATCTTTGAATGTTGTGCTGGTGTTGCAGTTCACATTTTCTTCACTAGGAGGAGATACGACTTTCTTAGCAAAACTGAGAAGTTATCCTTTCATTTTAAACGCCAGATCAGTTGTTTCTATTTCATATAACTAATTACTACATTCAGTAGATGTCTTAATCCCTCAGCCATCCAAAGATACCATTCCACTTTGTTTCCTGGGCCTTCACTTTCAAAAACAAAAAAATATGTAAATGATTAAAAATAATTTATTTGGAAATTGTTCAGTTCAGTATTCAGATGTACTACCTTCAGCTGTTGGATTTTTAGTAGTGAACTGGAAAACAGGTCTGTATGATGGATAGATTGATATACATACATCATAGAAAATTATGCATGATTTGACTAGGTGTAGCAACAGTGTTTTTAACCACAGCAGCTTTCTTCCAAGAATTTGGACATAGTTTGAATGTGTCGTGAGTTAGTGTTTCGTGCTTCATTTGTTCCAAAAAGGCTCACGTGCAGTGACTGTTAGAAGGCAGTGACTTCAGTGCTAAATGTAGTGGTCTTGCTGTCTCAAAATGACTAAAGTCCATTTTGGTATCTGACTGGGAGATTAAGGCAGGGCAGGGAGTGATGACTGTAAAAAATGGCGAAGAAGTATGAATAAATGTCTACCCACTTTTATAGCCAACGGAACTAAGCTTTTTAACTTCTACAATTTAACATAGCATTCAACTGGCTGCTTGTCCCAGTGCCGTAAACCATTATGTTATAACGTTGTCTCAGGATTCAGCAATTATTGTTATAACACAGCTCTCATATTCAGTTTACATATAATGCCCATTATATGACAATGACAACAGTCTCTCAGAGCCTGTCCCTAACCTACCTACAGTATGCTATCAATCTAAAACCTTAGATGTAAAATCTGAGGTGATATGTGTATTTCCTTGTAAAATAAACCATTTCTTTTTTTTATACTGATGAACAATAACTGTAGAATCTGTTTCGGAATGTACTGACTAAAAATATTTAACCTGCTCTGAATCCCCCTTCCTCTGCGGTCCTTGGGCTGAAGAGACTTGTGATGGGGGAGTGCTCCTTTCCACTTGGAATCTCTGGAAATGAGATTCAGAGACCAGGAAAGCCCTGAATAGTTAAACAGGTGGCATAGTTACAACGTGTTGTTAAAGTCATTGAGTTGCAACCTGTGAACATTTGCCCCTTCCTCCTTTATCTCAGTAGTCAATATTTCCTGTACCCTTCAACTCTAGGGAGCCATTTACAGCTTCTTGTTTTTGGAGAAAATGATTGACACAGGAAGAAGATGTGTCCCTCGTCTCAGTCTCTGTGTGTAGATGGAATTCTGTCAGCACAGTTCTTTATAGGGAGGATGCAATCCATCACTGATCCATAAATAAATCAGTAAGCACCAAATATCAAACTGCTTCACCTTTGTGAAGTGGCAACAATGCGTTTTGTGACATCAGATGCACAGGAAGAGGAGTGGTAGCGAAAACCTCAGCTGTCAGGCTGAGGTGTGGTACTTATCCCCCTGTATATTTATGTTAGCAGTTTGTTTTCCAGCACAGGTTACAACATTAGCAGGTGGACATTGTAACTAATAATTCAGTAATGAACTGAAAGGGTCATCTTAAAAACTTGCTGACAGCAGTGACAAGGATAAGTGGAGATGGTTGTGGCTTGATGAAAAGGATGCTGTGGGCAGCCAGCTATGATACCAATGTTTTTAAATGTAGAAATCTGGAATTCTGAAAAATCTAGTTATTTGAAATAAAACAGTGTACGGTGGCAATGGTAAACATTATGAATACTTTAATCACAAATATACACAACATTAACACCGCACAACACTGCTATGCCAGGGAAATCTTTTCTTACAGAGCGAAATGGAAATAAGCTCTCCCAAAAACGATACATGTACAGTATAAGCACATAGCAAAGGTTACTTAAGAGAAGAGGCCATTTGGCTGACCAGCTATCTGTTTTCTGTATGCAGCTGGGGTATTGGCTTCGACACTGCAGCTGGGTAGCCTGTTCCACAACTCTTTTTATATCAGTTTGCCTCCTATTCTCAGTTTTAAAGGCACTTCCAGTGTATTTACACTGTCCTGCTTTGTGTTCACTGTTAATTCTGAAGAAGTCCACCAGGCTGTCTTGTTAGAGGCTTTAGGGATTTTGAATAATTGAATCAGATTCCATCTCAGTCTTCGTTGTTCAAGACTAAAACGATTCTTTTACCCTGTCAGAGTAAGATGTTAATCCCAGGAATATACCTTGTCTCTTTTCTTTGGAATAATTCCAGCAGTAAATGTAGAGGTTTAAGTAGGTAGGAACAAGTCAAGATTTATTCTATGCTGAAAAGAAAAGGAACACGTTTAGGTTGTGGAGCCTTCTTCAGGTGTGGAATGTGAATGTAGAGGCCTTGTTTTATTTCACATGTCATATACAGTGGGTATGGAAAGTCACCACCCCCTTTCAAAATTTCACCTTTTATTGCCCTAAAACTCAAAGAGAAGACAAATAAAATCAGACTTTTTCCAGTTTTATTTACAAATTGTACCTTGCAACATTCATGTGAAAAAAAGAAAGCAACATTTCTGGAAAAAAAAGTAGAATAACTGGGAATAACTGAATAAGAGAACACCCCCCTGAGTTAATACTTGGTGGAAGCACCTTTTGCTTAAATTACCGCCTTGAGTCTCTTAACATCTTTGCACACCTAAAGGGAGGAATATTTGCTAATTTCTCCTTACAGAATTGTTCAAGCTCAGTCAAACTGCATGGTGACCGTTGAAGGACTGCCCTCTTCAAGTCATTCCAAAGATTTTCAATGGGATTTAGGTCGAGGCTGACTAGGCCACTCAAGGACATTCACCTTCCTGTCCTTCAGTCACTCACTGTACGGTTGCTTTGGCGGTGTGCTTTGGGTCATTGCCATGTTGAAAGGTGAACCATCTTCTCATTTTCAACTTCCTGGCTGAGGGCTGCAGGTTTTCTTCAAGAATTTGCCTGTATTTTGCACCATCCATCTTCTCTTCTATCCTGACAAGTGCCCCAGTCCCAGCTGAAGAGAAACACCCCCACAACAGGATGCTGCCACCACCGTGCTTTACTGTAGGAATGGTGTTCTTTGGATAGTCAGATGTATTGGGTTTTCGCCAGATTGTACCGTTTTGCATTCTGGCCAAAATGTTCGATTTTACCGCATCTTTAATGTGCTTTTTAGCGAAACATAAACAAGACTTGATGTGGCTTTTTTTAAGGAGTGTGTTTTTTCTTGCAACCCTTCCATACAGATTTGTGGAGCGCTTTTGATATTGTTGTCACAATCACACAATGACCAGTCTTTGCCATAAAGGCCTGTAGCTCGTTCAAAGTTGCCATCGGCCTCTTGTTAGCCTCTCTGATCAGTCTTCTTCTTGCTTGGTCATCCAGTTTGGAGGGAAGGCCTGATCTAGGCAAGGTTTGGGTGGTGCTATACGCTTTCCACTTCTTAATGATGGTCTTGTCTGTGCTCCATGGGATACTTAAAGCCTTTGAAATCTTTTTATACCCATCACCTGACTTGTGCCTTTCCACAAATTTATCTTGAAGTTGTTTTGAAAGCACCTTTCTGCCCATAGTGGATTCTTTGTTTTGAAATGCACTTCCAAGCAGTGGAATCCTCTAGAAACAGCTGTTTTTATTCTGATCTAATCAAACTCACCACAGTTGATCACAGGTGGGAGCCAATTAGTTTGTTGTGTGATCTGTAAGGTGACAGACCTGAGCAAGTTTACAAATGCAGTTGTAAGGGGGGTGTTCACTTATCCAAATAAAGTATTTTACTGTTGTAGTATTCATTTTTTGAATGTTTTAGAATTTTATTTTCACTTGGCTAATGTGGGTTACTGTGTGTAAATAAAAATTGAACAAGCCTAATTTTAATTTGTTTTTATTTTCAGAGTTTTGTACAACAAAAGGTACACATTTTGAAAGGGGGTGGTGACTTCCTGTATCCACTGTATTTACTATAGGACCAGGGAGCAATTACTGACGAATATCCATTATTCATGCAAACTAATTGGCTGGTTCTCACTGTGTTGCTCAGATGTGATTATGATGGCTTCAGATGACAAAATATATTCAGCACTGCATTAAAAGTGGCATTGAGACACAAGATACAATTAAATCTGCCTGTGTAATGCGTGTTTATAAGGTTTTCTCCATTCCATTAAGCATCATTCCTAATTTTAATGATATATGTAAAGGACTCAAGAAGAGAAATGTTCACAAGATATGTCATTGATATTTTATTAATATGATACAAAACATAAGTCAAATTAAGTTATTTAATTACGTAGAGAGAATTAGTTAAAGATTAAATACAATACATGTATTACAATTATTTGTAAATCTTAAAATTAAATTATGTTGTGAGAAACACAAAATCTGTTGTATTTATGCTGCTGTGAGGTTGGGCAGAAAGCTGATGTAACTTCACCTCTAAATGCTTCATCTGACAATGTTGACATCAGATACAGCCCAGGGTACTAACAGTGCTGGTGAATAGTCCCTTGGGAGTCATTGGAAAGCTAAATGTCTATCATAATTGTAGTTTTGGTGATTGTTACGTCCCAGTGTGTGTTCTGTGTGTGTTTTTTCTTTGTTCCACACTGCTGACCCTTGATTGTTCTCCCTTCCCCATTGGCCCACCATCACTCCACTGTTTCAGTATGATGTCATCATTAATTAGCCTCAGCCAATCAGAACACATCTTATTCAGTATATAACCTGGAGGTTTTCAGCAAGGAGAGGCCTTTCGTTTGACTTCGGTCCCGTTCGGTTTTGGTTATCGCTTCGCTTCGCTCCTGGTTATCGCTTCGCTTCGCTCCTGGTTATCGCTTCGGCTTCGTTTGTTGGTTTGTTTCGCTTTGTGTGTGTGTATTCTTGTATAGCTTCGGGCTTTGTTGTTTTGTTGGATTTACGTTAGTTTCTTTGTACTTTCGTTTGTTTGTGTGTTCATCCTTGTTTTGTCATTACCTTGCCCCAGTGTTACATATTCAACTTTTGTGTTCTTTTTGTACCCTGCTCCTATTTATTACTCTTGTTTTCCCTTATTTGTCTTCCTGGTTCACTTGTGTTTTTGTGTGAACGTTTGTATATAAGGTTAGTTTAGGTTGTTGGGTACACTTACACACTTAGTTGATTTTGTATTAGTACACTAGTTTAGTACGGGTGAGTGCTGTTTGTCTTGTATGGTTTTGGGTAGTCAGTGCAGGTTAGCTAGGGTGTTGAAGACGCCGAAGACCGTGTGTTTCGGGTTTTCTTTTGTAGTCAGATTAGCTTTCCCTCACTGTCCTAGCCAGCTCCATTTTGTTTGTTATTTTCTTTTCTTTGGCACCACTCTAGTTCCTTACCCTTATCACGCTTCCTAGTCCCTCACCAAAACCCATCTGCTTCCAAAATAATTATCCTAAATGTTACACTCCTCTTCCCCTAGACACTTGGGGTCGTAACAGTGATCATATAAGTGAAATCCAGAATAGTTCTAGTGTTGTTATTGATACCAAGTGATACCAAATTACAATGAAAAATTCCAAGTCATGGCGATTGATTTAAATATATCATGACCAATCCCATAAGCTCCTTGTACCATTTATTCACCTACTATTCCTACTGTATCCTTTTGAGTATCATGTTATGAATGGTTAATTCTTTGATTTTATATTCTGTGACTGAAAGCTTTTTTATATACCAAATTAGTGATATTTAAGAAACTGTTTGCTAGCCCTAAGAGGTTGATTGTCAGTATAGCCCATCTGTTAAAATTACAAGACTTAGGATATTTCTGAATAGCTTTTTAGTTAAAAAATGATTCGGAAATTAAATTTTGATTGTGATTCAAAGTGGCTTAGAATGTGTCCTTGGCAGCCTTTAAAGCTCTCGACCCTGACATAAAACGTCAGTCAAAATGATCACTGCAGACTTCACAGCAGTCTTGTTGCTGGGCTCTGTAAGCAGAATGCAGGCTCTGGGCTTTATACAGTATCTGCCCCAGAAGCACCTGCCTACCAGCAGGAATGCTTTCTGTGTTTCTTTGAAATTGATACCCTTGTGTTTAATCTCTGAATGAGCACATTTTCTCATTGGCAAAAGCAAAAAGTCTGTGAGAGAAATTTGTAAGCATTTGGGGATTTATTGGTGTTTTAATTATAATTTTAACATAGAAGGAGTCGAGGAATCCGTTTATGAGTCAGGTTTATTTTTTCCTGAAATAGTTGCTTAATTGTGTTGCATGGGACAAAAAATTAATGTAAAAAATTAGTAAATCTATACATGTTCACCTTTGTGAGTGAAGAAAATGGGCTGTTTGCAGACAAAACTAGAATAGACATGCTCCCGTTGGAATTCTGTGCAGTTTTCTGTCAAGCGTTAAATGGACTTAATGTGGTGTTTGCATTTGCCTGTAAACTTTATAATAAGTCATAGAAAGCACTTTCATTTTTTATTGGACAAAACTAATAACACAACAATGACAAAATACATCGCATAAAATTTCTTATTTGTTGGAAACATGCGCTTTCAATTTATAAATACAAGTGATGTTTTCTTGCTACCCAGTAAAGTTCAGATACACACAACCACATTTGTATTAAAGGGCACCGTTTAATTAAAAAAAACAGCAAAAAACTTGTTATACAAATTATCCGTCACTAGTATTCAATAAGTGGAATGATAGTTCAATAATACTTATTTAAAAGGAATTCAGTAAATGGGAAAAATATTTAAGTGGTTAGGCATTGAGGTTTGAGGCTGTGGCAATTAAATTGATTTAATTTGCTTATTATTGCTTGTTTCTTCCTGGCTTAATGACAGCTTCAAACACCGGGTTCATTAAAGTCTGGGTATGGGTTGGAAAAAGCACACAAAATTCTGGCAGGAGTATAGACTGGAGAAGGGCAATTGTAAAAAAAGACCAGATGAATCCTGATTTATCTCAAGCCAACATAAAGATTCTCCAGTTTAACGTCTGTTTAAATCCTGTTGTTGAGATGGGACCTTGATCACTGTCTGCAACTTCTCCTGCTTCACTGTGAAGTGAACTGTCTGACTCCACAAGATGCTCAAGGTGTTTTGTCTCCTTTCAACAGTGGTCTTGGAAATCAGGGAGTCATTCCATCAGGGTCGGCTCAAATCCCCAGAGGGAGAGACTGAAAACCCAGTGCTGGAACTGGGAGGGCTGGCAGACCAGACACCAACTCCCACCAGTGTGGAGGTAAGCATTGCTAATAGGCCCTACCATGTATGAGTGGCTCTACCTGCAACTGTGTACTGAATTGGTATGGTAAATTTTCAATGGTGTTCAGTATACAGAAGATAAAACTAATAGATCTGTTTGACTACACCAGTTAAACATGAATTAGCCTCCAAATATGTTCATCTTTCTAAAGAAAATGTGCAGTAGGTGAATATATCTTCAGACATATCTGAATCAAAATATAATAAAACGTTGGAGATCAAAATAGTGTTCTTTAGCTGTTGCATCAACTTTCCTAAATCAAGACCGTAGGGAATAGTGCACTTATTCCTGAATGTGCAACACTAATTGTTGCCCACAGAAGCCACTGTAGTGTGTTGATTTTCAGTCTGTCATGCTCTTATTAGTGGTGCTGGAATTTAAGCAGAACTGGAGTGAAATCATTGAGTTTAAATAACCCTGCAATTAACCTCCTGAAATGGAGAAGCCCCCAGCAGAAGCTTAGTGGGTATTCCCATGAGCTCTGTGTCTCCTTCCTTCCTGCTGTCTTCACCAGCAAGCAGGGCTGTAAATAACCAACGAGGGCTTAGTGTATGCAGACCAGGGCCTGCTTCAGAGGGAAATGTGCAATACTGTTTTATCAGTACTAAAGCATAGCCTGTCTGTGGCACTCTTTCCAAGTCAGGACAGATAAATCAGCCCCACAGCCTACATGCTTTGTGACGTAGCTTCATTAACATAACACAGATTTCTGTGATACTAGTAGTAAATTAGTACCTACAGTAGCAGGTGGTTACTAGTAGTAGCAATGCTCTGTATTAAAAATTAATGTGAAATTGTTAGGATGTGGCACAGAAAACCAGTCTTTCTAACTCTGCTCTTCTAACCCTTTTAAAGCACACATTCAATTTGGATAAAGTAAACAGGGATATTTTGGTTTCAAGTTGTTTTAACCTATTTTGGTTGCTAGCCATGTGTATGGGAGAGTATGTTTTCAAAGCTGTTGTTTGCTTTCTCCAAGTGATACCAACGAAACTGTTAAGCTACTGACACTTCTGAAATCTACCACTCCAAAAAGCCACAATTAACAGATGCGTATCTTTCTAAAAATAAAGCCAGCATTTCTCAACATTCTGCTGTTGCAAAGGCATGAAAAAGTTATGTTGGCATTCTCAATGTGGGTGTCAGTTTTTGTAAAAAAAAATGGGAGATCAATTAAATTCACAGTGTGACATTCCTCACATTTATGACAGTATAATCATAATGTTACTATTCTCAGATTTATTTTCATGTTTACTCTTCTTTATAGTTTGCAAATCTTTAAGATATCCAGTAACACCTCTTCGTGAAATTCTGACTTTCTGTAATTTTGCCAGTTCTGCCAAAATTGGCTCAAACATTAGAAACAAACTAGACATTTTAGGTCCACAATTTATGGTTTCTACCTTGATTGTTGCTGGTCAAAATTATGTGTTTTTATTCACAGACTCATTGACAGATTTTGACAAAGGCACACTATTGTTTGTTCCAATGTATTTGTTCATGTGCTTGATGCTTTTCAGCCCATTTTCAGTTCATCTTTCCTCTTCAGTCTTCATGCGCCAGCTGTAGAATATCTTTATTTAGTTTATTCGAAAAGGACTTAGTGGACAATGATATGTCATTGTACAGTTTGTCATACTTCGTAGAAGTTGCAATTTTAAAATTTTCTTAATTTCCTAGTATGTTCTCCATCATTTGAATATTTATTTATGAAGACCCTTGCGACCCTCATTTCGATGGTGGGGGTTGATTATTTTAGGGCATAGTAGGGTTTAGGTTTTACTGTATATTATTATGAGCCATTCTTTTAACAATGTACTGAATACTTTGGCTACCAGATGGCCTGTAGTATTGAGTGTGGTAGTGTAGCTTGGTTTATACCAAATCCTTTGGAGTAGTGTGGTTTTGAAAAGATTCAGCTGGAACGAGGAAGCAGTTAAACTGTAAGTTGATATTTATAGCTCAACAAACCTCAGCAGCTGTACACGCTGGGTGCTCAATAGGCTGTAAACTCAAATGCTGTCAGGACCCACACCACAGGAGAGCTGGCCTGCACATGTGTACAGATGTGTTGCCAGCAGAGTTCTTAGGCAGATGTGTCACCAGGCTGACACTGTCATCAGGCTAACATCTGGAGACCACCACAAACCAGAAGCCACTGAAGAGCACTGCCAATCTTGGTGCATATGCTGTGAAAAATAGGCAGTGCTGAATTGCTGGGGTTCTGTAGAACTGTATAATTGTGGTCAACATTGGGAAAATGTTCAGGCCCTTTTTTCAAACCAACACTTCACTTACAGTAGGACACTTTGGCCAGAACCGTTTTACTCTAGGTTGAAACCTAATAGTCCATGAGATTGTGAGTGTTGTGGTATAAGGATATAATCCAGGAGGCAGTGCTTGTTGGATGTATGTTAAGGCATGTGAAGGGCAATTTATTGTCTTTGGTTCTTGTTCTTTGTACAGGATCTCTCACCGGGGAGCATTGAGGAAGCAGAGGAGGCAGAGCCTGATGATGACTTTAAAGATGCAATTGAGGTGAGGGCACACTTTTTAAGTCAGTACCAGCTGTATTCCTCTGACACTGGCACTAAGAATTGTGAATAACAACATTGTGGTCATTATAACCGAATTCTACTTTACACCTGATCAAACTGTGTGCATGTACTCTCCAGTCAGTGTGTAGCATATTCAGCACATTCATTGTCGTGCAAAACAAACGCTCACTCTCGAACTTAAATATGTGCAATCCTGTATAATCTTACAGTACTGTATGTGATTCTGTACCCACAGATTCCTTTACAAACACACATGCAGAAGAATGTCATATGCTACCACATGCAGGCATTGAGTAATTGTATACTAGTAGAGATACACGCGTTAGTAAGAATCTACTTCAGATCGAGGGTTTTATCTCATAGCCCTCGCAGAGCAGCTGTTGATGAGGAAGGCTGTGTGGGTGGCCCTCTGCAGAAGTACCTGTGTTTTTGGCGTGGTGTGGCGTGGGTGGGTGAGTGCTGACTGGTCCAGGTGCTGACAGCATGGCGCGTGTATTTCATGTCCAGCTGAAGAGTCCAGTCCCAGCCAGCTGTGTGTGTTAAACCTAAAGGAGACTCTCCAGCCAGAACAAACACTCTCCACAGCAACTCCTCAGAGGAGTGGGAGGGAGGGGAATGTCCCCCCACACATGCACATACCAGCAAGAAGAGAAGAGAAACTGTGGTCTTTACAGCAGATCAAAGTTACAGTTAATGTTTGTATTAGGAGGACCACTTCACAATATCTGTGAAATATTTACATTATTGAAACTAGATTTGTATACTCTAAAAGTACCATTATACTGACCTTAAAGAAGGCAATAACTTTGTCTTTGTGGGAGTTTTTATAGTGTTAAACATACAAAAGATTATTTCCAGTCTTTGAATGCCTTTAAGCATTGACTGTGTAATATCACTGTTTAAAATGTTGTGGGATCCCATCCCAAAGACAGAGCAAATGCCTTTGAATTGGAGACCTCTTCTAATGTTTGCTTTGTTTTACTTTGCTCTCCAAGGAGCCGCCTATGATACTGCCGGTAAGTATGCAGCTCTCCCTAGAGCGGGAGAGAGAAAATGTTCTGGAAGGTTGTGAAACAATGCCCTTTAAACACTCTTTCCAAAGATCATAGCTTGAAGAAACAACTGAGAATGCATTAAGATACTTTTTCCTTTTTAATGCACTGCTGGTCCAGATGAAATGATGCCAAAGAATGTGAGAGAGTCTCTGGGAGTTGTTGATCAGAGAGATTTGAACTCAAATGTTTTTTCTTAATTGTTAAACTCAGTTTCTGGGGTGAAACATGCTTTAAAAAATTAAGAGCTATAGTAGTGAAGGAAAACAGGTAAATTTTTTTCATTTTCGCAATGAATCTCTTCCCATTATTTCTGTATCAGAAATAAAGTCTATAGCAGGTTGCAGTCTTCTTAATCTTCAAATAATTGAAAGGAATACTATTTTAATATTAGGTACCTTTTTGCAAGATGTTGTACTGCTTATAAAAATGTAATGACACTGATGTACAATGAAAATGCATTCGTTTTGAGTTTTACAACGGTAGTTCATTGGTCACATAAATAAGTAAATTATTTGAGGTAGCATTGTTTTTTGGGATGATTTAGTTCAATTAAAATTAATTTAGATTCTTAAACAGACATTCAAAAATACATTATTTTAATTAATATGTCAATGAAGGATATATTCAACCAAGCTCCACTTACATAATGAAATTGGTTTCGATGAGCATGACTGAGGGTAGCCTTTCTGTCAGAGAAGGTCCTGAAATAATGTTCTGAGATGAGATGTTCTGCTTTGACAATAAGCACGTTAATCCTAAAGGAACCATGGATCCATCAGTGTGAGGAACAGGCTAGACAGCAAAAGATTAACCCCATCCTGGTTCTTCTAATGCACCTACATAATCATTTTCAGACTGCAGTGGCTAAAGCATGTGCAATTACAGGAAGAAATAAGCAGTGTCACATGACTGTAATCACTATTAGTGTGAAAATAATCTCCATGCTCAAAGGCCTTTCAAGGTAACGTTGACAGCTGAGAGACAGAAGCACCATCATCTGTGAGCCAGAGAACATCTGAGGTGGAAGCAGAAAGAGTAGTGGAGTGTTGTGTTCATTAATTGTACAGTATGTCATTTTGCCCTTGAGCAGACTGAAAACAGCATGTGTGGGGAAGTCAGAATAAGGCAGAATAAACATTCAGCCTGTCAGAATGAGGCTGATTTTGCAATTATTCAACCAGTTGACATGGTGACAGAAGTTTGTTGGTATTGGGGAAATGCAGGAACACCTTTATTGTACATTCACTACAGTCTTATTGCTCAGCAGTACATTAAGAAATTCTTGGGGCCAATAGTTTTTCCATTCCTGCAAGCCAATCAAGAAGCAACGATTTTCCAGCAGGACGCTGTGAGACCTCTGCTAGGATTACCGTGGCGTGACTTCACAAAAACAGTGTCAAGGTCCTGCCATGAAAGGCTTTTTCTCATGACCCTCGCCATGAGTTCACTAGAACATCTTCAGGATCAAGTCATCAACATACCAAATCCATCAACAGGAGACAACAGTAACCAACCTGCACTGGGCACCTGCAGCTGCACGAGAATAGTGGTGCAAAGCCTCACAGCAACCTGTCTAGAGGCTGCTCGGGTGTATGTATCAGTGCTGTCAGGATTGTTTTCAGTCTTAGGGAGCTTATACCTAATACTAATGTTTTCATTTTGACAGTGTCAAATTACATACTGGAAAGTAATTGTTCACATATTTTCTGAATATTTTTGTATTTCTGTTTAAGTTATATTATACCTCTATTAGACCTAAGTGCTGAGTTTTGTTTGTGCACCTGTGTAATATCACGGAGGGACTTTTTTTTTTTACTATTTCTCTGTTTTTTATTGCCACCTGTGTAAAAAAGAAAGTATGGTTTTCAAATATTTTTGTATACACTTGTATTTAACTTTATGGTGGCTCGTGTATTTGCGAGAAGTTGAGAAGACAAAATGCTTAAATGCCTTTTGTAAACAATGAAAACACTTAAGACTTGTGGTAAACATTATTTTAATTTAATGGAAATTTCATTAAGATTAATGAAATGGAAAACCAACTGAAATGTGCTTTAAAAATGAGGATGTAAACTACACGCTTTGTTTTCTTCTGCTTTCCAAGGAGCCACCACTGGCTTTGATGGTAAGTTCCCAGACTCTTTCAAGGAGTGAGGCAAGGGGAATGGCAAAAGGAAATAAGAATGGTTTGCATTGCTCATTTTGAAGAACTGAGTGTTTTCTGTTTCCTTATCTTTAAGTTTATTTACAACAGATAGTGATACCAGCTTTACTCTTATCCAAGGGCCTGAAGAGGAAAGTGACTCCATTATAAAGTGGCAAATTCAGTTTTTTTTTTTATCCACTCTAGCTAGGGATCTGACAGTAGCCATCTGTAACTCTCGTGGTCCCGAATAACAGGTTATTTTTTAAAAGCTCTTTTTAAAAATCTTTTTTTAATCTCCATATTTATAGATTGCTTTTGCTTTCCAACAAAGAACTTTGTTTCTTGGACTTTATTTGTAGAGACAAGCCACTGCACAGTATGCATACAACTTGTTTATAAAAAGTATTTTGCTGGGACAAAGCAAGTGGGTTTTCAAATGCCGGTGGCTTGTACTGTGCCTATTGTGGCTTTTTTAGTTCTTAAAGAGAGGCACTGTGTGCTACTGCCCTTTGCAGCACATCGCCAGTGACTGGCAAGGATTATTTATACCACTGTAAGGCGACAGGTCTGTGAAGTCTGGGAGCAGCTAATGAGTTTACCAGTCTTCCCAGGGGACCGAAGATCCCGCTAGTGATCAGGGCCTCCAGCCCTAGATGAGTTATTGGTTCTGTTATTTATATAGGTGAGACTGAATGCCCATTTGCCAGGACTGTTCTTGCAATCCCTACATGTTTATTTGGAGAATCAGGTCTTCATAAGGACCAAGGTGCCTCAATTCCATTCATGTGTAAGAACAATCCTGTACCAAGGTGTCTCAGTCTAAAATGGCATGCCATTGCAGTTCTCTTGTTTTCACTGGTGACTTTGAAGGGAACAGGTAGGAGATCTCCTCTCCAAATCAAAACTGACTCTTCCATGGGCTGACAGAGAATCACTTTATACTGTACATTACTGGAACTCTTCCCTGTTATGAAAGGATAAAGCTTTCATCTGGATACTATAGCCTAAACCCCACCTGATGAGAGAAGTTGTAACTTCTATGTGGTCTCTCTGCAGGAGGAAGATGAAGTCTTACCCGGTGCTGCTGACTTTGATATGGCCCCTGACAATGGCCTTCTGAGTAGGAATGAGCCCATCCGCAGCAAAGTGTCCAAACTTACTGAGAAACTTCGCAAACGCTACCCTACCAACAACTGTGGTATGTAATGGAATGAAATAACTTCATGCCTTTTGTTTTTTATAAATGAAATAACTTCAAACATCAATTTATTTAAGATCCTCAGTCACTCCTGTTGTATTGTTTTTGTTTGTTCCAAACCCCTGAAATTTAAAAGCAAGGCTGCTTTCTTTTAACCCTTTGCTCTGAGCTCAAGGCTGCATTGTCTTTTACTTTCTCATTCTCAGTGCATGTGCAGCACCAGTAGGCCTCATGGATTTCTAACATAGTAACTTAAATTGTATTATACTGTGCTGGCTGATAAATTCCGTGAGATTAGCTCTACTCTATTCTTAAATTACTACATGAATGCTGATTCATGGATATAGTATGGAGCAGCTTTAAAAGTCCTAATCTAATTTTAAAAACTATAAACAACTAAATCATTTTTTTAAATTTCAGAGCATGAAATTTGAATGACTTTTTTTTAGTTTCTATACACCTGAACAGCAGCCAAATGCACTGCAGGAGGCTTTTGGAAGTTGGATACCTTAACCTTTCCCTCTCTGTTAGTACAGAGAGCAGACCAGGCTGAAAAAAAGCAATAGCAAATACAAAGCAACAGAAACTTTTCCATGTAACCTTGGGGGATTATCTGATATCTGTTATATGTCATCTTATATGTTGAAGCAAGTGAGATAGGCTCCAGTGAACAATATGCATTTCAGTATGTCTAGCATTGATGTCCAGTGTGAGCAGTGTTCAGTTCAGGACAAAGATGTAGAGGCATCATTTTGATCTTTTTTATATAAAAATATCTAAGAATATTTGATTTTTTATCAAAATACATTTTTAAAATGCATTCACTTTACCACATATCCAAACAATAAGAGAAATGCATATTCAACATCTTTCAAAACTAATTCAGTTACTCTTGCGCTGTTGTGGTTACCTGTCAAATGCCCTTTTTATTATTAGCTTGCATCAGAAAACAACATTTCAGACCATAATGCAGCTGGGCATCTTACAAAAGATGATATGGAAGCAGAAGCTGTACATCCACCATTTGTTCTCTGATTGGAGAGAAGTTTAAAGAAGTAGAAATTTTGTTTGTGTTGTTTAAAACTATTTATTCTGCAGCATTTTGGTGTGTGCTGTTTTGGTTAATAAGTGGTTTCCTGATCAGATATGTAACACATACCCTATAACAGAGACCAGCAGAGGTCAGTGTTGTACAGTGGAAAGCAGGCCAACACCAGCCCTCAGACTGCATTCACATGTTTTGTCCATAAGGCCTCATAACTTACATGCTTCAGGGAAGTCAGTTTGCATCACTACCGATAAAACTACCCTTAAGAGAGGAGAACAAGCTGCACAGTACCATCTGATAAAACAAAATGACTCATCTTTGGAGGAATGTAATCACCAGACTGTAGGTTTTTTTTGTCTTTGTAAATTTAGCATTGAACATGAGTGTGTGAGTCTGCTACTTGAAGTTTAATAGATGATGAGCGTAATTCACAAAGCAGTCTGGGTCTTCTAAGGGAAACTACTAATCAGACTGTGTGATTGGCATTTGGTAGCATTTCAGTGTTCTTGGCAGTACATTTATAGTGAAAGTGTTCTGCATTTTTGTATAGCATATAACCCTTTGTGTGTTTATCTGCTGTGTTTTGGTTAATCTGTTAACCCAATATAACTACTTGTAAAAGCTTTTTGACTACTAATATTTACAAAAGAGAAAAACATATCTACTGTATCCAGAATAAGATTTTAATACCTTTTTGTGTTCAGACATTTTTCTTGGAGATGGCCAGCTTTGCTACCTTCGTTTTCTTTTCACAATAAGAACTTTACTGAACCTGTCAAAGTTAGTAATGGCTTAGAATGTTTTTTTTTAGAACTGCAGGAGAAGTGCTGGAGCTTCAGGAATAATTTAATTGGTGTGATGATGAAAAACAGCCTTACTATTCAGTTTGGATTCTGTGTATTTAGAAATACTTTTTGACCAAGTTCCAGGAAAGAAAGGGGTTAAGAACACAGTCTTATTGTCTTTTAATAGTCATTAGTCTGTTGTAACTGCCGTAAAACATACTTTTAACATAAGTGCTGTTAGGCTGTGGACCTCTGAGGATGTATGGCTGATAAGTGGAAAGGGTAGGACACAGCTGCTGCGGAGTTCTGTGATCTCTTTAACATAGAGAAAAGATACCTAGCCTTTTGTGAATTTAACACTTCATTGCCAGTAGTAATAAGCATAATAAAAGATTAACACATTGTGGTATCGATGTCTAGATGCATATTCCAGCATAAAAAAATCTCCAGGAGAGTTTCTGTAAACTACAGTAATTCTTGGAGAAGTCTAAAATCTTTGACAGATAAATTAACTGATGATGGTCTACAGGCTTTTAGTGCACATATGAGCAGCACTTACACATCCTATGTTGCCTGTGTAGTCTTATATAATCTCGGTGGAAACCTGTTTTTCTCATCATGTTTGATATTAATTGTTTAACAATTACTGGGAGATACAGTGAGGACTACCAGAGACATTCTTGTGCTTGTCTCCCTATATCTGTCTCCCTCCCATTTAGCAGAATAAGATCATGGGGCTGCTGGTGCAGTGGGGGAAATACATGAAGGGTTCCCACAAGAGTAGAACAGCCACTGATGCAGAACATTGAGGTTTGATCGGCCGTACAATACACTTCTGATCTAGCACATCTGTGCAAAACCCAGAAGCCCTAATTACCGGTCATGAAGTTGGATAACAACATTCTTGTTTGTATATTTGAAGAAAGTCAGAGATGCTGGGGGTGAATTTTGTAGCTCAGGAATGATTAACCTTATCATCATGTGCTGCAATAACTGACCTGTAACATGTTTTCCACAGTCACAAAGCGATAACAGGCTCATTGGCACAAAAGCCCAGGAGCTCCAGTATTGTGGCCTTTCAGAGATAAGGGATTGAAGTCCTTCCCAAACACACTTGATTATATGGGATCAGGCATAGCAGAAACTATGAGCAAGCCCCACATACAGCACCATGTAGCCTTTAAGCATAGACCCAGAAAGATCCAGTAAACCACAAGCCTTACAATGAGAGAGGCAATATGGAGAGAAATTTTCTGCTTTCAGGCAGTGGTTGTCAAACGTTTCCATATTTATTTAATTCAGAATGACTTTTTATTTTGCCAAGAATTTGCTTTTGTTTCTTCCAATGAAAAAATTTATCAATTAGTTTGAATAGCGGAGAAGTACTTATTTGCTTTGCTAGGAATAAATCATTATGGTTTTATCTTTATTACCCACTGAGATACAAGAGACTTTAAGTTTATGTTTTTTACTCAAATAAGAAATAATAAAAGGTCTGAATTTTGATTAAGACCAGCAGTGATGTCTGCAGATCAGAGAAATAGGAATGGTGAGTAGATTAGCCCATCACATAAAAAGTACTTCAAGAAGTTTTCCCAAGGAGTAGAACTTGAGGAGCAGAGAAGCCCTATCAATGTTCAATGTAGTTGATGAGTGACCAGAGATCCAGAAAGCATGTATGCACAAGGCATTGTTCTATATTAATTTATACTCAAGCATGCATTGCAAACATATGGTCACGTGAGATGAGAATTTGAGATACCTTATCTGCCCAAATGTTTTAAGGATGAAAGCATAAGCCAGAAACACTGATTTCTGATGGGGAAACCAATAAAACTGTCATTATTGTGAATAAGTCAGTTATTACTACTTGCCAGGCAATCCATAGATGTCCATCACTCTGGAAAGCTGACAAAGTATTCATTCCTTAACAGGTCTTTTGTTTAAAGAGGGTTACCTATTACACAAACGCCTTTAGATAAATGAGTTAACAGCCACCCCTTCAAACAGTAGAGCAATAAAGTAATTAGGCCTAATCAAGCCTATTTGTAAGTCCCAAGCCCTCACACACACTCAATGGGCCAATGACCTACTCAGTTGTTAGAATGATCAATATCCCTGGGGGCCTGTGCCTCGGTTGGTATCAGACCTCTCAGTAAGCCTTGAACTTCCAACCTCCTTTATAGTGAGTGTCTAATAACTGCCACAGCTTCTGATGTTTGGTTCTCACATGCTAAGTAGACTAATGTAAAAGGCACCAGAAATCTTTTTAGGGTTGACCCTGAATTGCAAGTTCTTTGTATCAGTTTCCAAAACGTGTTCATTATTTCATGTGGACAGCTAATCAGAAATGAAATGATAACATCACACCCCTTTTAATAACCCTTGTCTATCCAATTCAGAGTCATGGTAGCCCAGAGCCTGTCCCAAGGTGGCATATAGCCTAGATGGGACACCAGTTCATTGCAGGACACACTCACAGTCACACCAGGGCCAATTTTTACAGAAGCAAATTAACCTACCACTTTGTCTTTGGAGAAAACCAGAGCACCGGGAGGCAGAAAGAAAAGGATTTTCCACTACATTTTAGTTCTTTTAAAATTATCAGGAGAAACATCGTGCCAACACCTCTTTGAGCTGGCCTTTTGTCAGTTCCCAAATGAGATTTCATACTCTTGGAGGCAGGTCTGTTCTATGACTCCAATGCTGTGGAATGATCTTGCAAGTCAGTCAGCACTTTTGGACTCCATCTCAAAATTTACAGTACTTTTATACTCTAGCTTTTCTGACTTAATTTACTGCATTAAATTGTGTGTACATGTCTCTACTGGTTTTGCCCTTGCCTTATTTTATTGTAAAGCACTTTGAGATGATTTCACAAAGGGCACTATATTAAACAAAGATGGTTATTATTTGTTGGGAATTGCATTAGCTACTATTGTGGTTCTTGCATTATGTGTTTAATCTCAGTTTAGTACTTTATTACACACATTTATATGTGTACATAGTATTAGAGCATTTTATCAAATGCTTTGAAGCCTTTAAATAGATTCAGAGTTGAGTCTATATAAATCAGATACAGATGGTAGAGGATTCTGCAGTTTTCAATGGGAAATAAATGGGTGTAACCTAATGGGTTATACATTCTACACTATATGCACAAACACCTCCATCTGACAGCTAAAGAACACTATGAACTGGAGAAATTGAGTGTCTGTTGTAAAAGCTCCATGCTTCCCTCATGACAGAAAGTCACTTTTCAGCCTGCTGTGAAGAATCTACTTAGCATAGCCATTCCAATAAGACTAAAAGCACGCATTTGTGGTGATAGACAGGAAGAGAGGTTGTGTAATTCCGGCCTGATCACATCTGGCTCATATTGAGAGAATCTAAAAGCACAAGCCCTGTGGATGTGGAACTGCAGTGTCAGGATGAGAATTGAATGGCAGAGTAGGTGGCCTACTGCATATACAGTACTGTACTGTAGATTATTTATTTCTGAGTCTTCAAAGCCTTGTGTCACTTTGTCTCTGCTTCAAAGAATACACAGACTAATTTTATTCAGATTACAACTGAGATATTTGAAAATGAATAAAAAATAATCTCTGAAAAATACATATTACTCATTATTAAATGCTTAAATTTAATTTTAAACGATCACGGTCTTAAATCATCTGACCTTTTTGAGTCGGGCTGGTGCTGGTTCCACTGACTACTGGGAAGATACCATAGGAAGTCAAATTCATATGGAATGGTAGATCTTTGCCTGACAAATTCTTCTCCACCCAGTATGCTGTAGTGAAAAGAAAATGTCTTATGAATTTCATTCCTCCATAAATAACTTATAAGAAGCTGTAAGCATATGCACTGGCACAACGTAGCCCTGACATGAGCTATGCCGAGTGAGAGGATCAGGCATACTGTAATCACTGACTGCCCCTGCTCAGGAGATGCAGCAGAATGCTGTTTTCACGCAGCTGTCATGCATTCTTATAGGTAACAATTATGAACAATATGGTGGTGCTGCATCATTAGGTAGTTTAGAATTCCCCAGGCTTCACTGATTTACATGCAGAGCAAGTAAATAAGGGATTTAATTGCACATGAAAATGTGGCCTGGCAGGAGGTTGTTTAAGGGAACTTATATGGTTAATATGAGATCATATAACCTAATTTAAAACATTTCAATGTTATGTAATTTTTAGTAAAGGAAAAAGTCCTACAAAACTGAGATGAGCGTTTGTTTGGATTAATTTCTATATATACAAGTGCTGGGCAAGAGAGTGATGTTTGATAAAGCTGCTTTGTTGTTTTTGGGTTCCCTTTGCTTGTTAGATCCTTTCTGCAGTCGGCACTGACAGATACCCGAGGTCTTAATGGGCTAGCACTGATGCGTACTGTTTCTCACACCTCATCTAATGAAACTATCACGAGTGGAATGCTAAAAACACATGCATTTTCATGCACAGCCTGTGGTTCCTCTGTTCCTCCATCCCAGTGCATTATTTACAGGGCTGGAGTCTTACAGCAGTGAGCCTCTTCTTAGGGTTCCTCCATTAAGGATGTGATTATGTAATGGTTGTAACTGTTGTTACAGAAATCATGAATCTGGGGCTTTTGCCCTGAAAACTGGAAGCAAGATTAACAGGTGGTTGAAGTACCATGCAGTGGCAGTTTACATGGGAATTCTGTTTTTGTGAGCAATGGAAGATGGGAATCAATAGCACGTCTTTCTGATTTAAATACTTTTGGATCACCATGGACCAGGAGGCCTGGGCCTGATGGTCTCTGTCCTCAGTATCCATCATTCTCATGAGCCTGAGCACTGATTTCAGTTGTAGCATTCTCAGTAGATCTTGTAGTTATGTCATAAAATCCAAAGTGATATAGAAGAATCCTCAGTTTCTTTTGATTAAATGAACATCTAGCACATTGGCTTCAGCTCTGTTGAACTTCCCACTCCCACAGTCCTTGCTCAGAAAAGAGCAGTCTTAAAGATGGGGTCATCATATTGTCCTGTCAGCCAGATAAAGGGCTCCTGCCCTTCTCTTGGTGCCTTTCTCTTGGGTTTTCCTTGGCTGCAGGCAGCGCCTTTTTCAAAAGGCCCGGCAACTCCAGCTGATACGTTTCCTCTCAGCTCACTGACGGAAACAGAGTGCTGATGATTAATGTGTGAAAAGAAGGCAGGTAAAACAAAAGAAAGCAATTCATTTATTTTTTTGCATAGTCCATAAGCCAGTAAGCCCAAGGTAATTCAAAACTGCTTTATTTGGCGAGAAGTTGATTAAGCACCCTTTTCAAATGCAACCTGGAATCAGGACTGACCACAGCAGGTGGAATATTGTAGACACTTGGGGGCTAAGAGAGGAAAATATTTGGATGGATTAGTTTTCAAGAAGCAAAGTCACTGCAAAGAAAGGGGTTTTATTAAATAATTTGCTGTCTCTGTTTTTGACTTCATCATTCATAGTATTTCTTCTAAAAAATCAAGCCCAATATGTTTCAGTCACATAATGACTTGTTGGTTTTATATAAAGACATAATAAATTCTGATTTCACAGTCACCATGATAAAATAAGAAGGGAAATGGCTGGTTTTTTAAATGTCTTACCAAATAGAAGTATGCAACAAAAACCCAGAAGATCTCGCAATAGACCTGAAATTAAATCCCTTGTAATGGGTCATATAATTTGAAATAGAAAGCCTCAAAGTTCTGAATAATTTTTGGTTTCCAGATATTGCATTTGTTGAAAACCCACTATAAACGCCCTGCAAACACACATGCTGAAAGGATCCATTGTGGGCAGGGATTCTTTGCATTGGTGGTGTGGCAGGTGGAGAGTGAAAGGAGGAGGAAAGATGAATGTGCGGACTTTCGGAGTGGTGTGATGTGTAATGATTGCGGTAAGCCGCATCAGACGTGGCACAAGGTGGTGAAACAAGGTTTGGCTCTGCTTTGGGTGAGTCCTAGCTTTTGAAAGAATTGGGTCATGGTCTGCCCACTGCAAGAAAGGATAAAAGCACTGATTGCAAACTGCTGACCTCTAAAGCATCCTGTCCAAATCCAGAGGCTCTGAATCACTGCTCTTACCCCCACGTTTGAGCAGCTGAGTCACTGGGCCCATGTTCCCATCATCGGCAAGCCCTAAGATGTGGGCGCTCCTCTGGGATCTCCCCCCCCCGCCATGTTTCCCAGCAGCCATGATCGTTCACATCATCTTCAGTCACTTTCACTGCACACACACTTTGTCCAGTTACTGGCACAGCTCTCTCCTGTCATATCCAGGACATGACGCCGGATTCTGACCTGGAAAAGTTCCTTCTCGTTGAATGGCATATGGAGTCTCAAACAATTAGAGAGGTGGTTTACATATTCTGAAAGTAGCTGGAACCGTTAAATTCACATGATTTTATTTTAGAACTGCTTGTACTGTTATTAAATCTGATACATCTATAATACTATTATATAAGAGCTTCAGCCAGTTCTGTGAAATCACTTAAACAGTCCCTTTCTTATTGCCAGGTAACTGCTCCAATTGCAGTGCTGTCTTCTCTGTGCTGAAGAAGAGGGTGAGCTATTGACATTTAGTTATAAATTCGAATAACTGCTCCCAGGCCATCAAATTAATAAGCTTGTGCACTGTGGCCTGAGAAATAGAAGAGTCTGGCAGAGATAAGACAATAACCAATGTGCAGATTCAGTCTGATCCACCACTTAAAACCACATTAGTTCTCTCTAATTCTAGTTCTCAAAGTCTCCACATTGTTGAAATGCTGCAACAGACTTAAAAATATAACTAGCAGAGAAATATGAAGCTTGTAATAGATAGCTTATAGCTTCTGTAACACCCAAGATAGCACAATTAGTTGAGCCTGGCTCAGGTGAAGCCTATCTTGTATGAACTGCATAGACTTTTGATTAATTTATGTAATGGAACTGTGCTAAAGAGCTAAATTACCTCTGTTAAATAGTGGAAATGAAGTCTCAGAGATGCCTTAGGATTCATATCCTCTGTTTTAGTCCAACAACCGGTAGTTATTTATAGCATGCTTCATTGCCATTTATAATTAAAATGCCAATCTTAAGTTCCATCTAGTGCAATACTCTGTTTTTTGTTTTGTTTTCACTGCCTTGCAAAGGTGCAAAGAGGAGTTAGGCCCCTGTGGTGTGATGTATTTTGAAGCCCGCTTTTTCTTGATGGGGTGGCGATTGTTTTCTTTTTCAGAGGAGCTGTAGTAACTGTGGAAACAGTTTCTGTTCACGGTGCTGCTCTTACAAAGTCCCAAAGTCCTGCATGGGAGCTACAGGTGAGTGGCTCTCAAAACATCAGAATGGCTGCGGCATGGTGTTAGGGTAGAAGTGGTAGATATAATTAGGTTTCCTGCAGGTATACAGTATGTTTAATATACTGTATAAGTCAAATTACTTCCTATTTTATTTCTTTGTATGGCTTGAATTGCTTAGGATTGCTGATGACGTAGTGGATTGAGCGTATTTGAAATTGTTTAGAGGGAGGGGGCCACTAAGTTTCTTACCTATATGTTGCTTCGGGTTTATTAGGAGTCCAAGGTGCAGCCTGTACATTAGGTCAGTAAAAATGACTGCACGTTATCGCACTCATTTGGAGACGTATTTTGTTTTTGTTTTAGCTCCTGAGGCTCAGAGAGAGACGGTGTTTGTCTGCAGCCAATGCCACCAGATTCTCAGCAAGAAGGACTAAGAATTCTCCCCTCCTCCTTCCTCCTCCTCTTTTCTCCTCCCTGGAGCCGCCATGCTTTTCTCTGTCTTTCTGTCTTCTCTGTGACGGCTGGCAATGTTCCAGGATGCAGACTGGCTGATTTTCCAGAGGACTGGTAGTTCCTGCAGGTCACCCAACCAAAGAGATGCTTCCCCCCTCCACACTCTCTTGACCTCTTTACTGGTGCTTAACTTGCAAACCTATGGCAACATCAGCGCACAAAGAATGAAGACTTGGTTTATCGAAGTATTTTGAAAGGACTTATTTTCCTTTTAAGAATCTTTGAAGATCCTTTTGACCATGTGATCTCAGGGAAGAGATCCAAACATTTTCTCTGAGAAGTTTTCCAGTAACTACCAGGGTCCTAGTTTATCCCATGTTGCCGCAGACAAGGGGTTATGGGAGGCCAGAGGTGCTGTCAAGGGGGAACAATGCAGGGAGAGCTAGCTTCTGAGTCATCTCTGTACTGATTAGGACTGGTACATTCAGCCAGGTTTCCAACATGCCATTATAACTCCAGCACAAACATACATACAAATTAAGTTTCATGAAATATCTTGGCAATATGTGCAAAAACCAATTAATGAACTGAGAAGATCTGTGTTTTTTGTTTCTTGCGTCCTTGCTGACAGTTTAGTTTCAGACTAATTGAAATTAAAACAAATTGCAGGTTTATTGAAGATTACATTTTGAATGCATTTTAGTACAGACGTAGAGGAGTGTTTGTTTTCTAAAGGCTATGCACAGGTAGTTTGAGATCATTTGCTCTTATTTTAAAACATTTTTCTGTTGACATTGTGTTATCTTCAAATCTAAATGTTCAAACTGGCAATTACAGAATTCCTACTTTTCTCAAAGTTTGACACAGAACAGGGCATCTGTTATGCCCTTAAGAACATGGAAGTCCTACAACAGCTCCAGCTAAGGAACCACTGGGAAAAGTGAAAAACTGCATTATAACAAATACACAGGAGTATGTGAACCATTGACAAACATCATGCACATGCACTCCCAAGAAATTCAATTCTAATAGCATTTCTTAGAGGGTTTTAAATAAAGGCTAAAGACTATGGCACATTAGCCTTGAGATCATGAGTGGGAATAAATCATACTGAGACCTTTGCAGAATTGCATGATGCCTGTATAACGAGTCAGAAATGTTTTTCTTCCACAGTAAATTAATCCCATTTCTGTTTTGAGGTAGTGTGGTAGAGAAAAGCAGATTAACTGGGTCAAGTCACTAATGTTTAGTCACGAGAATCCAACAATAAGAAATATATCTCAGAATGTATTCACTGGAGATGCACAGTATGATTATGTTCAGTTATCCACATTAGACCATATCTTAGTTTATATTTCTCCTGCTCAGACACTAGTGATCATCTGTCTGTCATTTTAAATGCTCATCTTCTGGATCTAGGTTACCGAAATGAAAATTAATTGCTTGTAAATCGTTATTTAAATGGTCCACACCTGTTCTATAAAGTAATGTGCTCAGCCCTTGAATACTGTGCTAGGGGCACCTTGGCCTAGATTATTTCAGGACCAGAAGGCAACAATCGCAAGGGGACAAGAATAAGCATGCCTCCAACCAAGATGGTATCACTGCTTGGTACTATTCAGTGACATCAAAGGAAGTCTTCTAGGGGAAAAAATAATGTGTCAACAGTTCATATATCCAATGATGCAACTGAGCCTTCCAATCTGGACTCTTTCACTAGCACTTGTGTAGAAACCCCTGGCATTATACTTTCAAAAAGAAAAGGAACAGTGTTTTTTTTATTTTATTTTCTTAGAGTTCTTTTTGCATTGCTTCCACATAAATATTTCATCTGGCAGATCTAATCTCCCTGTCGTTTCGAGTCGCTGCCTGCCTGCCTTGGTGCTGCAAGAGGAAGCTTCACCCAGCCTGAGGGCTCCAGCATCTCTCCTTTTCACGCTGCCTGTGGAGAATGTTAACAAACTGTCAGCACGATCCCAGGCGAATCCCTACAAAGCCACGCTGATGAATCAGTAGTATAGATACATCACAAAAAAAGCAGGTGGGTTGGGATCCAGTTTCCTGGTTACTTTAGAGGGAGTGGTTCTGCCACTGGGAATTCCACAAATGTTGTGGGAATCTTTTGAACAAGGGATCAGGATCTGTGAGATAATGCTTGCCTTCCAAGTGTGACATCCTGTGTAGGCACCGAGTTTCTCCACTGCGGTTGCCTGAGCTTCCTTGGTTTGACTTGCCAGTCACTCGCCAGACTTGCTTGGCCATTTAAATTCCATTTAAATGAACCACAGCACAAAAGAAACACTGGGCCTTACAAAATATATCCACTTTTTGGTTTTGCTTAATTTGTTTCTATTTGTTTTGAAGCAGATCTTGCATTCTCTTAAAGAGTTATTTTCCCTAAAACCCAAAGAATTGTGCAAGAAAGTAGCGACAGTGGTCTGAATAGACAAAAGCAGTCCCATGACTACTTCAGATATTTTAAAACACTGTAATTGTTCAAACATATGTAATCAGATTTTAGCTAAATGTTACAATTTGTTTTATGAAACAAAGTAAAACATCTATATTATTCCATGTGAAACATGGGTATCAGACATTAATCAGAATGTCCTTGCAAGCATTGAATTTTGAGTCTATGTGAAGTAGTTAACCTGCATAAATCAGACACCACTAGGGAGGACTTGGTTTATGACCTGACTACTTAATATGCTGTATTTATACTTAAGAATAGTAAATCTATAAACTGTGTTTGTATTTTTGATCATTTCTGTATATGTTGGCATTAAGAGAAAGTTTGTTTGAATTTATGTTTTGTTCCTTAAAACAATGTCTACAGCCTTCCTAATAAATGCATATGGCATGGAGACGAAATGTCCAAATGTCTCTATACTATCTGTTCATTTTCACTCGTAGATTTTCCTTTATAAGGCTGCCCTTATGAATGTTTCTATAGAACAGCATCTTAAGGTAGTCTTGACTTGGAGTTGCCATGTGTTGTATTAGGTGTTAAGTATGTTCTTGTTTTTGATTTTGTACTCTTGTCTTGTCTGAAAGCGACATGCCTCTTTTTTTATGAACAGGTACAGTAGTAGTGGTGAAAATGTCTCATCCACCTCAAGATAAATCCATTGAAATTAGCTAGAAGAGCTCTGATCATCAGGTACAGTAGTGAAGTGTGTCACTGTCATGAATGTCACGAGTCCTAATTTTGCTCCATTTTCCTTGTGTTATTAGTGAGTTTATTTTGATTTTTTTTGTATTTGTAATGTCAAAATCATTTTGCATTCAGTTTTGTACGTTCTTTTACAGATGTCATGCAAGACTTATGGAAGCTTTGCAGTTCTTTCTGTATCTTTCAGTCAAGACAGGCACCAAAGAACTAGTTAGTGTGTCTGAGATGTATTATGTAAAGAGAAACTGGCCAAGATTGGCATACTGCTGCGATCTTATCGGGAAGGCTCCCTTAAATACACAGGAATTGTGACCTACTGACTTCAAAACCCATTTGTGTTTTATTAGCTAACTTAACAAGAGATCTCAAATGGTTGGCAAGCAGGCATGTCTCATTTGAATAAAGGCAAGTACTGTAGCTTGCCTTACTGTTCTCTGAACTCCCACATTTATCATAGACACATTCCTTCCATCACACTTAAGTTGAGCTGACGCAGAGATGGGTTTTTCTCAAGGGCTGGTGCTGTAGGGCTTAGGTACTTTCTAACTGTTGAGCTTTAATCTCACAATCAGGAGAGCAGAGAAGTCATACCCCCAATCCTCTAGTTCTTAACCTGCATCCTTAGGTCTGTTCCATGTAAGCCTTCCTGTGGTTGTCTCAGTGTCAACAACAAATAATACGCTTAAAATATTTGGACTTCTTACTTCCTTTGGTAAAGTGGTTTGTGATTTAATCTCAGGAGTTATGAATGTTATGAATCTTAAAACACTAATACGGCTAGTCCCTGGCAGAAGGGTGATGAACAGAAATCTGTGTTGTTTCTCCTGGTTTTGATTAATTTCAAATGTAATTCTATTTGTGAAAATAGTTATTGAATTCAGAGCCTTTTGAAAAACATAAAAATTGTGTCATGAATGTCCTGCAACAATGTCAGTCCTACCTGAGGAGCAGGCCAGAAACTGCATCATGTTTTTATTTCTAGCCTGTTCCTAAAGCACCACAATTCCTTGCATCATGGTTTGACAGAGGCAAGTGAAATATAAATCATGCTGGATACGTATTCAGTCATGAACTGAGGACCTCAAATGCCTGATTAAGAGGTTAAGCGCATACAGTGGCTTTGAACTGTAGCGTCATTTTATCTTGGAAAGAGATCACACTGGAAAGCAACAAAAGATTCTGAAGTCCTGTAATGTAGTGCTCCAGAGAAATAGGATTCATCATAAATTATTTCAATCTGTGTTAATATCAGATCTGTCTCTGTTTTTTAGCCACAAACCCTCCAGTATTTCCTTTTTGCTTTGAATTCTCAAGCCTGTCCAACGTAACTGTAGCCCCAGAGCGGTGCCACTCAGTTGGGTTCAAATGTGTCAGGGGTAGACAGAACCAGGATGAGTCCAGTGGACCTGTGTGCCTCCACTGACTCTTTCAGGCAGGGCTGGGAAACATCCTGATGACAAAGTCTCTTCCCTCAATGATATGGGGTACTGCTATGGAGGAGATTTTTTTTTCCCATTATTGTTCTACTTGAACTAACACATTTTACTGTTGAATGGTTGTTGATTGAAAGAATGGCATTCCTGACAGAACCCTTTCTTAGGAAAGGATTCACACACTCTGATTAGCACTGATTGTGGCCCTTTTATTGACTGGATTTATGCAACTCTGAAACCTTTAGGTACTCACATTTGCACATTTGCATCTGCCACTTTGAAACCTATTGCCTATAATGGTTGAGCGAATCCAAACAAAAAGAGCATTTGAGGACTTTAAAAAAAACTTTGATGAAACAAATAAAAACCTCAAACTGCATAGACATTTGGAGAAACCATCTGGCCCTTCTTATTAGTATGACTACTATGACAGTCATACTGTTATCTTGCTGTAAGGGGGTAATGTGTCTTGTGGGAGGAATGGCAAGATTTTGCATTCTAGGGAGTTAGAGTGAAGTCCTCACTCAACCTTAGTCTTTCTGCAGGAGCTCCTGGCCCAATAAGCTACTTGTTGAAATTCCCAAATCCTGGATATGCTTTAATTTCCCTTTCAAATGTGTCTTCAGTTTCTGTGTTGAGCTTTGACATAGTGGTTTCAGGTGACCTTCCTTTCACACACATTAATCCAGGGTTGTCCTTATTCCAGGCTAAAGGAGTTCCTTGCCTCTCTGCTCAGTGTATACCTGTCAGTTGATGCTGGGCTGCCTTTTAGAGTACAGTTTCCCTCTGGTAACTATGACAGGAGGTGGCCACAGCCTGGCTGGCTCTGTCCCAGCCCATTCATTAGCACCGCTGCCACAAGATTTCTCTCTCCTGCTCTTAAAGATGTGTGAACAATAGCAAACCACATTGCACTACAATTTGAGGTTACTGGTTTGTAGAGTGGAGTATTAATCATCTCTAGGTTTTCTATGCGACATCAGGGCAGATGCCAAGAAGCAATGTACAGAATTGACAGCAGAGCAGGAGCAGAAAAAGTACAGTATACTGGTGACAGTGTGGCATGTGGTTGAGTATGAAGCAAATTAATTTTAGTTTTGTACGTGTTCTAATATCTGTGTAATAGGGGCTGGGAGACGTGGTTTTTTCTGCAGTTTGACAAGCTCCAGCTGGACTGTATGTGCCGTAGTGACGGAGGTTCCCCCAGACTCTAGTGGGCAGGCAGTATGTGAGGAAGCCCAAGGTCCTGCCTGTGAGGCCTGGCCTGTGTCTGAGTGGTGCCAAATGGACGTGCTACAGTGTTGACATTTCTGAGCTAGCGCACCTCCGCCCGCCTCTGGATCAGCTTCAGACCGCACAATCTTTACAATTTTCTACTTCGTTTCTTTAGCTGAAACTTCATTTTTCTTTTTTTATTAAAAAAAACTTGTTCTGTTCCCCTGCCAAACATCTGTTGCGATTTTACGGTTTGGATCATTAAAATCTGTAAAACATAAACATTAAAAAAAAACTTGAAAGGCCTCATTTTTGTTTCAGGGGAACTCATTGCAGTTTATATATTTATATATTTAAAAAAAGTGAATCAAGTTAATAGGAAGAAAAAACCCAGCATGGTTTATCTGGGCTCCTCTGTAAGGAGACTGTAAGCTCAGATGGCTGCTGGTGCTCCCAGAAATTGCTACTTTAATGCTGTACATCCTGCTCCTGTGTCTAATCTTCATAGTCCAATCTACATCACTGCATTGCTCCAGTGCTTTGACATCATTGTGTAGCCTTGTTATTATGTCCTTGTGACAGAGGAACATGCCCAGCACTTTCAGTCCCCTATATTTTTGTCCTACAAGCCATGAGTCTATGTCTCATACGTCTGATGGAAATATCTGCCCTGCTTCTCGTACTGTCATCAGCTTGTAAATTTCCAGTGTTTGCACTTGTTGTGCATGTTGCAGTCTTTCTGAATATTTTGCTACAGTCTATTTTCTGCATTATCACAAGATTGTTTGCTATCTTTATCTCGTCTAACCTCCTTTAGAATTTGTGTCAAAATATATCCGCAAAATTGCATGAATATAATTTACTTAAATATGTATTCCCAGGCAATATCTTGAATTGCTACTGTAACACTCCCACCCAGACATTACCATGGGGCTAAAGATTGTTTAAAATGTGAAGTGAAAGCTAATGTAAAGGTTAAGTCTGTGCTTAGTGTAAACCTGCTTTAGGGGTCGACTTGTCAATGGAGAGGCATTGGCAGGCTGACTGATAGAGTCATAGGGGCCCGTCGGCCCTGCACCTTTTCAGAGGCACTAAATTCATTGGAATTAAAAAGACAGAGGAAGAGGGAGGGGGAATCCAGTGCCGCAGCCCTAATGACCCCAATTCCAACAGGCAGATAGGAATCTGAAGTCTCCCCTAAAGATGCATTGTGTGAGCCTCCCTCCTCAGTCCTCTCCACGTGGGAAAGCAGACTGAGAGGGGACAGGAGGGGTGGGGGGGCATGAGCCCGTCATGGCAGCTTGCCATTCCCACCAGACAATGACACAGAATAGCTTTATTTGTTAAGGCTTCCTTAGGCACCAAATAAAAAGCTTTAGAAAGCCTGAAAGGGACTGGCCAGCCCCCGAGTCCCATTGATTAACCTGGCTGCTCTGCTGAAAAGGGGCTGACAAGATGGAGTTTAAAGATTATGTCAATTAGTGATTTCATAGAGAAGCTCAGTGTTGCTGGTCTGCATTAACCCCTGCCTGCCTGGCTTCCTGGAACAGGGCTGCTGTTCTTCTTTAGTAAGCGCAGCTGAGAATAAAAACCCATGGAGGCCACAACTGTGAGTTTAGGCTTGACTATGGTTTTGCCATCTCTAATGACCGTTTCATCTGACTATCAATAAAAAGTCCTAATGGAGAGTATGTACACAGCAGCCAGGCACCAGGAAGTGTGACGTACATTACAACAGTGAGGGGGAATTGACTGATGGACCTACTGTACTAGAATAAAAGCTACTGTTGATTTTTGTAATGAAAGTACTGTGGAAGTATTTTTCAAAGGTTTCCAAGGAAATATTCCTTTTTAATGACTGTTCTTCCTGGGATATTAATAATGTTGTTTTTACCTAGCAGACACCATACTTTATGCAGCTTCTTGGAAGCACTCACAATGCCTTGTCATAGAAACCTTTGCTGTTGTGTGGAAGCCAGTGAAATAGTTTGTTTCCAAAATAGCATGAGATGTTAGAGCTGCTTCACACACTCTTAAAGTAAATTCTGGGAAA